GTACAGGAACTGACACACAAAAGTATGAAAAAATGCAAGAATTCATATTATCTGTTTTCTTTCATTAGAGAGTCAGAGGTCATGAAATATGACAAAGATGATTCCTTACTGATATATTAGTACAATACTATAAAATTATTAAGGCCTATCTCAAAAAGCACAATTTTATTTATTTTTTTTTATTTTTGAGATGGAGTCTCAGTCTATCACCCAGGCAGGAGTGCAGTGGCGTGATCTCAGTTCACTGCAACCTCTGCCTCCTGGGTTCAAGCAATTCTCCTGCCTCAGCCTCCTGAGTAGCTGGAATTACAGGCATGTGCCACCACACCTGGCTAATTGTTTGTATTTTTAGTAGATACGGGATTTCACCATGTTGGCCAGGCTGGTTTCGAACTCCTGGCCTCAAGTGATCCACCTGCCTTGGCCTCCCAAAGTGTTGGGATTACAGACATGAGCCACCACACCTGGCCACACATGTTTTTATAACCATATAATTGGGCTGTGTATGGTGATTTACACCTGTAATCCCAGCACTTTGGGAGGCCGAAGCAGGAGGATTGCTTGAGCCTAGGAGTTCAAGGCTGCAGTGAATTATGATTATGTCACTATGCTCCAGCCTAGGCAGCAGGGCAAGACCCCATCTCTACAAAAAAAAATGTTTAAAAATTAGCTGGGTGTGGTAGTGCACGCCTGTAGTCCCAGCTACTGGGGAGGCTGAAGTGGGAGGTTTACTGGAGCCCAGGAGTTCAAGGCTGCAGTGAACTGTCCTGTGCCACTTGCATGCCAGCCTGGGCAACAAGGCAAGACCCTGTCTCCAAACAAACAAGCATATAATTGGGCCAAGAAAATGTTATATTTCCCTGAATATTGTAAGGAGACTAACTGGAGAACAGTCCCATTCTAAATTGACCTTTTATTTTTCCCTTCTTCAGTCTTCCAACCTTGAAGTAGTCCTATCTGTTGCCTTAGATACTGAACACTGCAGGCTACAATTATACAATGAGCAGATTGATTAAACTGCAAATTTAAATATCTTAGAATTGTCATTGCCATTTGGTAATGTTGTATATTGACTGGTCAGCTACAACAGGAGACTGGTCAGCTGTCTCCTGTTTCCTACAACTGATATTTAGCATATTTTTCTTTCAACAAATATTTCTTGAACTGCTACTCTGTTCCAGGTGTTGTTCAAGTTCCAGGGATACAGCAGTGAATGATAGAAGGAAGAACCTTGCCCTCATGGAGCTTACCTTCCAGCAAAATACTAATTGTTACATGAGAGTTGGTTAAATATGAGCAGTTACTGTTGTTGGTGAATGACTGTTCTACCAATTTGCCTGGAACAGCCCTGTTATAACACCCATTTATTAGTTTAATAGTCATCCCTTTCATTTTCAAAGGGTTCCCAGTTTGTAGAGTAAATTATATGACCGTCCTTGTTCTAAACCTTTCGTATACATTAATTCGTTTAATCCTCACAGTAACCCTATGAGGTATATGAGATTATTAACATCATTATACAGGTGTAGAAAGTGAAGCACAGAGAAATTAAATTAACCTGCCTTTGATGGGAGTAACTTGCAAAACCAGAATTCAAATCCAAACAACAGCTTGGTTCCTAGTCACTCTACTAGACTGCCTCCATACTACTGTTCTCAATCTTTACTGTTTTACTCTGCCTGTCATCTTTCCTCTCCCCAGCAAAGTAAAGCAGGTAAAGTAATACCACACATTCGCAGATGAATTTATGGTTCTGCAGAGTGAATTTTCTCCACTTGCTACTCCCTCCTTTACAAATCTGTCTTCCTATCTACTCGGCCTCACTTTATCCCTCCATTTCATAGGAATGGACATCTCTCCTCCTGTCTAAAACTTGTATTCTAGCCCCATCTCACCCTGCATTTTGTTGGACTTTGTCCTCTAAATTACTCTTCTCTTTTTCTTGGGCCTTCCATTTCCATTGTTCCACTAGCTTTTCCCATTCAGCACATGAAGAGGATTTTTTGTTGTCGTTGTTGAAAATGTATATCACTCTTTTAAGAATTCCACTTTACTACTGGGAAAGGTTTTTAAAAGTTTATTAATAATATAATGATGATAAATGGCTGCTAATTTTTACCCTATTTAAATTCCAGGTACTGTATATAATCTCTAATCCTTTTAACAAACTACAGATATTTTACAGATGAAGAGATGGAAGCTCAATGGGCTACATAACTTTCTTAGCTTATGAATAGTAGCACTGAATTCAGTCTCGTATTTGTCTTAATCCAAAGCCCATTCTATTTCAAGTATAACATGCTAGTGTATCACAATTCTTATAGACTTCCCTTGATCCTCTGCCTGTGCCTTATTGCCCTACAGCTCTCCTTTTTATAGAAAAGCTTTGTAAAAAAAGTACTTAATACTTGTAGACTCTTCTTGCCTTTCATTTACTTATTGACCCATTCTAGTCTAACTTCTACTTCTGTATCAGGATCCTCCAAAGAAACAGAATCTCTAGGAGGTTTTATATATATATATGATATAATATATAGATCATATATGATATATATCACATATTAATATATATTATATATGTTCTGTTTTAAGAATTCACTCATGTGATTGTAGGGGCTGGCAGGCTGGCAAGTCTGATACCTGTAAAGCAGGCCAACAGGCTGGAAACTCGGGCAGGGTTTCTTCTCCAGGAAACCTGTTTTTGCTCTTGAGGCCTTCAACTGATTGGATGAAGCCTATCCATATTACCAAGGCTAATCTCCTTTACCTAAATTCAATTTATTGTAATAATATTTACAGAGTAGCTTCTAATTATACATAGAATCAAGATCAAAGTCCTTATCAGGAATAGAAGACCTCCCGTGATTAGGCCTTTCCTACTATATCTCCCATTATGCCTCTCCCATTGCCAAGTCTACTTACCAAGCCATACTAAAATATTTATAGAGCCCCAGAATTGCCATGTTGTTTGCTTCCATGTCCTGTACTGCTGTTTCTTTTGCCTGGCATGTCCAGTACTTCTGTTACTTCCCTGTCTCCCTGCCCCTACCTAGAGCATCAAGAAAAATTATTTCAGCACCCAGTTCAGTCTTCTCCTTTGTATAACCTTCCCCAATTTCACAAAGAGTTGATTATACCTCTTTTCTGACATCACTGTACCTTGTTCTCAGCTCTACTGTAGCACTTACCTACGGTATTCTTTATTTTTTGTCTGATTGTTGCCTTTCAGTAACCGTCCAGGTATTTCCACTGGCTGGCATATTATAGGCACTCATCAAATGTATGGCGGTGGTGGAGATGATGAGGCCTAGTGGATCACAGGTTAAGTAAGGCCATGTCCCCATATCAAGTTTTCCTAGGCTTGGATCACATATAGAGGAGAGTGGTAGACAGTTCTGATAGTCTCCCTTGTCCCTTCTAGAGGCTGCTGCGCCAACCTTAGCAACAGATTCTTTTTGATGTATATTTTTTATGATAATCTGATACCTATTCTCAGCCTTCATATTGCTTTTGTTTTATTTTGCTGTATCCTTGAGGCAGTTAAAAAGAAAGGATACTGTTACTGTCTCTTATACACATCTAGATGTGTATAAGAGACAGGACTACAGGCGCCCGCCACCATGCCCGGCTAATTTTTTGTATTTTTAGTAGAGACGGGGTTTCACCATGTTAGCCAGGATAGTCTTGATCTCCTGACCTCGTGATCCACCCGCCTCGGCCTCCCAAAGTGCTGGGATTACAGGCTTGAGCCACCGCGCCCGGCCCACAGGAGGAATTATGCATCAGCTTGTTCTCATGTGATTCTCATGTGCCAAAAAGTATTTTCTGAGCCAGTAAAAAGAAAATTATTTTTTGGGGTAGTTTTTAAATCTTCCTGTGTCCCCAAAATGTCTCCATGCATTTAATGTCAAGTTAAAACCCAAGCCAAGGCTGGGTGCAGTGGTGCACACTTGTAGTCCTGGCTACACATGAGACTGGGACGGGGGGATCACTTGAGCCCAGGAGTTCAAGTCTGTAATGCTCTATGATCATACCTGTGAATAGCCACTGCACTCCAGCGTGGGCAACATAGTGAGACCTCGTCTCTAAAATTATTAGACGCTGGGCACAGTGGCTCGCACCTGTAATCCCAGCACTTCAGGAGGCTGAGGTGGGCAGATCACTTGAGATCAGGAGTTCCAGACCAGCCTGGCCAATGTGGTAAAACTCCATCTCTACTAGAAATACAAAAATTAGCCGGGCGTGATGGCAGGAGCTTGTAATCCCAGCTATTCGGGAGGCTGAGGCAGGAGAATCGCTTGAACCCGGGAGTGGGGAGGTTGCAGTGAGCCAATATCGCATCATTGCTCTCCAGCCTGGGCGACAGAGTGAGACTCTATCTCAAGAAAAAAAAAAAAATTATTAGGAAAAATGTCAGTGTTAACTCTGAGAGAACAAATAATGGCTTTTTAAAGATTGTTAATAGAATAATGAAGACTTACTGTGTTTTTAACACGAAAATTTTAGGTGACCAAGGGTCCTGCTATAACATACTGGGGTCATAGGATAGTAGAATGGTCAACATCTCAATTTAGACATGTTACTTCTTGCTCTAAATACACTTGTAGATGCTACTTGTGGTGTAACTCCTTATGTGTTTAATATGTATCTGACTCTTGGTTTTCTTGATTTTTTAAATGGGTGAAGAATCTAGTTATGAATTCTTTGCCCTTTATGGAATGTGATATCTTGGGTTTTATTCCATCTGTTACTTCCCTTTTACTTACTTTTATCTTATTGTTTTGCATTGTGTTTGTAAAATAATGGCTTTGGCTTATTTTTTCCTGAACTTTTCTGCAGTTTGGTTTGAGTATCTGGCTTTGGGTACCACTCCTGAACTTGGACTCCATCTGTACTTGTGACTTTTGGAAGGCAGAAGTCAGTGTTTTCTGTGGAAGATGACTTTTTTTTAATATTGTATATGTGTATCTTCCCCTCCCCTTTTTCGTTTCTCTTAAAAGACTGGAAAGAAAGCGGTTAAAGCAGTTCTGTGGGTCTCAGCAGATGGACTCAGAGTTGTGGATGAAAAAACTAAGGTAAGATTCTTTATTTTTATTTTTATTATTTTTTTTTTTTGGGAGATGGAGTTTCACTCTTGTCGCCCAGGCTGGAGTGCAATGGCGCGATCTCAGCTCACTGCAACCTCCGTCTTGGGTTCAAGCAACTCTCCTGCCTCAGCACCCGAGTAGCTGGGATTACAGGGGTATGCTACCACGCCTGGCTAACTTTTCTATTATAAGTAGAGACGGGGTTTCACCATGTTGGCCAGGCTGATCTCAAACTCCTGACCTCAGGTGATCCACCGGCAGCTTCCCAAAGTGCTGGGATTAAAAGAGTGAGCCACCGTGTCTGGCCTAAGGTAAGATTCTTATAAGCATAAATAGGACTCCTCATATGTTTTTTAAAATCTCTAATGATCAGATACAATACCCTTAAGCTGTTGAAAGGTATTATATTGTTGAAGCTTTATCCTTCCACTTAGTCCAAAGTACAATCTTCTGAGAGACTATTTAACATTCAGGAAACCACTTTAGTTACTCATTTACTTTATGAAAAATAGTATTCTCTCAACATTTTGTTCTACATGACATAGCATGTCTAAGGTACTAAGCATTAGCATTTAGTGTTAAGATCTGAGTTTTTTTTTTTTTTTTTTTTGAGATGGAGTTTCACTCTTGTTGCCCAGGCTGGAGTGCAGTGGTACAATCCCAGCTCACTGCAACCTCCACCTCTTGGGTTCAAACGATTCTCCTGCCTCAGCCTCCCAAGTAGCTGACTACACACACGGACCACCATGCCCCGCTAATTTTTGTATTTTTTGGTACAGACGAGGTTTCACCTTGTTGGTCAGGCTGGTCTTGAACTTCCGATCTCAAATGATCTGCCTGCCTTGGCCTCCCAAAGTGCTGGGATTACAGGCATGAGCCACCACGCGTGGCCTATTTTTGTTCTTACATATTTTTTAAAAAGTTTTCACTCTCACAAATTTGATATAAAAGATGATAGACTATCCTTTTACCGTATTTTAAAATTAAAAACAGATGGACTCCACATCTGAAATTTCTTCTTGCTCTGAAGAAAACACTATTTTAAGAAAATGATATTTGAACTAATTAACCTGGCTTTTGACTCAAAACTCAATTTAAGTGACATCTTAAGGACTAGTAAATGGCTCTTTGGTTAACATTTACTTAGAATCCAAATAATATCTCAAATCATAGGTAGCATTTTGCATTTGAGAAACAGTGATCCTAAATGCCTAAATAAGAATAGACACACAGCTCTACCCCTAGAAAGCATAAGGTGTTATATAAGGACATTTAATTATTAATTAAAATTTCCTAGAATACCTAAAGTCAGGAAAAAATTTAACAAGAAGATAATTTTTTTAAAAATTCAAATGCCACTGAAAGGGGAGAAAGTCTGGCAGGTAAAAAGCAGTTTTGATAGGAAACTTGCCTGGTAATTTCAAGTGATTTAATATAGCTGCATTTTAGTTATTTGACCTTACATTGCATACTTTTTTTTAAGTTCAAGAGAAGCAATAGTCTTCAATTTTAGTACATTACTGTAGGAAACAGTGATCATTTTAATTATTTTTTGGAACTTGTGTAGTTTTCATTAGTGTTTGGATGAAATTTGTTACACTTGAAAGCTATGTATTTAATTGTTTTATACAATAGTTGGAAAGTAATATTGCCCCCTTGTGGCTACTCACACCACTGGCATTCATTAGTTTAGTTTTTTCCACACTGAATAGTAGTAATTAGTAGTCATTGGTGGCTTGTCACCATTGGGACCATCTTCCCACCTTGTATTTCGCTATAAGCAGGAACTAATACTATGTTGGGATCAGTATTTGTGATAACACCATGCCATGATCTGCACAAATTTTTGTGGAACAGAAGCTGAAATCTGAAGCCCTTAACCTTTGAGCAAGAAGCTCTGTCAGATTGCCTTGCTATCCCATCTCCCAACTCATGTGTATCTTGATTCTGATAGTGTTCCTACCTTTTTTTTGTTTTGTTTTGTTTTGTTTTTTTCTTTTTCTTGAGACAGTGTCTTACACTGTCACCCAGGCTGGAGTACAGTGGCACAGACATAGCTCACTGCAGCCTCAGTCTCCTAGACTCAAGGGATCCTGCAACCTCAGCCTCTCAAGTAGCTGGGACTGCAGGCACACACCACCATGGCCCAGATATTTTTTTCTTTTTTAGAGATGGGGTCTCACTATGTTGCCCAGACTGGTTTCGAACCCCTGGGCTCAAGCAATCCTCCCACCTCAGCGTCCCAAAGTGCTGGGATTACAGGTGTGATCTACTGCACTCAGCCTAGTGTTCCTATTTGAGTATAGTAACTCTTAGTGTCTTAGAAAAAGAGATAAATGAATGGCCAGGTGCAGTGGCTTATGCCTGTAATCCCAGCACTTTGGGAGGCCGAGGCAGGCAGATCACGAGGTCAAGAGATCAAGACCATCCTGGCTAACACGGTGAAACCCCATCTCTACTAAAAATACAAAAAATTAGCTGGGCGTGGTGACAGGCGCCTGTAGTCCCAGCTACTCAGGAGGCTGAGGCCGGAGAATGGCATGAACCTGGGAGGCAGAGCTTGAAATGAGCCAAGAACGCGCCACTGCACTCCAGCCTGGGCAACAGAACAAGACTCTGTATCAAAAAAAAAAAAAAAAGAAAAGAAAAAGAAAAAGAGATAAATGAATTGCAAATGGAAATGTAATTGAACTAGTAGATGGAAATGTGAATGGAAATGAAATTTATGTTACAAAGAAAAAAATTAGAAAAACAAGTTTCAAAATGACTGTTCAGTGTGTTTCACTTCCAGCAATAGCTAAATAGAGCTTCTGTTGGACTGACCCTCTAGCAAACAACTGTAAATTCTAAACAAAATAACCCAATTATTCAAAGACACTAGAAAATAACCCAAACAGATAGATTCTAGAGAGAAGCCGACACTTAGAAGAAGGAAATTGTATTGGGTGATTTCCCATTTCACAGCTTCTAGCTTAAGGATAGGTCCTAGTCTGTACCATATAGGGTAGCTCTAACTTCAGTGAGAAACACTTAGTCTTTTGGTCTTAAAAACCAAAAGACATAATTTTTGTGTGTGTTTGTTGGTGTTTTTTTTGAGATGGAGTCTGGCTCTGTCGCCCAGGCTGGAGTGCAATGGTGCGATCTTGGGTCACTGCAACCTCTGCCTCCTGGGTTCAAGCAATTCTCCTGCCTCAGCCTCCCGAGTAGTTGGGATTACAGGCACCTGCCAGCACACCCAGCGAATTTTAGTATTTTTGGTAGAGACAGAGTTTCACCATGTTGGCCAGGCTGGTCTCGAACTCCTGACCTCAAGTGATCCACCTGCCTCAGCCTCCTAAAGTGCAGAAGACAGAATTTGAGGCAACAATAGCCACTAGAAGGTAAAAAGAGAGGCTGGGCGTGGTGGCTCACACCTGTAATCCCAGCAGTTTGGGAGGCCAAGGCGGGTGGATCACTTGAGGCCAGTAGTTCAAGACCAGCCTGGCCAACATGCTAAAGCCCTGTCTCTCCTAAAAATACAAAAAATTGGCTGGGCATGGTGTTGTGTGCCTATGGTTCCAGCTACTTGGGAGGCTGAGGCACGAGAGTCACTTGAACCTGGAAGGCAGAGGTTGCAGTAAGCTGAGATTGCGCCATTGCACTCCAGCAGCTTGGGTGACAGAGCAAGACTGTCTCAAAAAAAGAAAGTAAAAAGAGAATCCTGAAAATAAGCCAAAAAGGAGTAATTCTGTCCCAAATTCTGTTCATAAATTCTGCCCTAATCTCTGCCCCTTTAGCCATGTAGATTCAAGGGAGACTCCAAATAGCCCAACTAAGGATATAAAAACTGATACTTGATTACCTACGTATGGTGACATGCACCTGTAGTCCTACCTACTTGGGAGGCTGAGGCGGGAGGATCGCTTGAGCCCAGGAGTTGAGGTTACAGTAAGCAGTGATTGTGCCACTGCACTCCAGCCTGGATGATGGAGCGAGGCAGTCTCAAAAAAAGAACAAAAGCACCCTGATATCTGAGGTGCTGTTCAAAAGATAGAGTTTTCCATTTGAGTATAATCAAATAAGCTACCTGATAAAACCAAAAACGTAACATTTCCAAGGAATATAATGGAATCCAGACTCTCCACATACAACATTCACAATGTCTACAATGTGGTTACTCAGCATACAACAAAACAGACAAGTTTGACTTATTCTCATCAAAATAACACAATAAAGACCCAACTTCAAGATGACTCAGATGTTGGAATTAGCAGACAGATTTTAAGTACCCTCCTTCATTATTTGACCAAGAAATAAACATCTCTTGTCTTTGAGTCATTATATTGTTTTGTATTTATAGCATCACCACAGCTAGTACAGAAAATGGCACACTGAAGTAGAGTGCTACCTTAACAGAAATGAAAATAGTGTATAGTAGGGATTATAACTATACTCAGTGACAGAAAGGAAATATGTTCATATTGAATGAAGAGATAGAAATCTTGGCAGAGAATAGAAACTATGAAAAAGAAACAAATGGCCGGGCGCGGTGGCTCACACCTGTAATCCCAGCACTTTGGGAGGCCGAGGCAGGTGGATCATGAGGTCAGGAGATTGAGACCATCCTGGCTAACACAGTGAAACCTGTCTCTACTAAAAACACAAAAAATTAGCCGGGTGTGGTGGCACATGTCTGTAGTCCCAGTTACTCGGGAGGCTGAGGCAGAAGAATTGCTTGAACCCTGGAGGCAGAGGTTACAGTGAGCCAAGATCGCGCCACTGCATTCCAGCCCAGGTGACAAAGTGAGACTGTCCAAAAAAAAAAAAAGAAACAAATGGAAATTCCACACCTGAAAAAATATAGTATCTGAAGTAAATTCACTGGATAGGGTATATCTAATGTAAAAAAGCAAGGCGCAGAACTGTGTGTGTATGTGTATAGTGTTCATTGTGTAACGAAGGTAGCATAAACATGACTATTATATGTATTTGCTTATATTTGGAAATAAACCCGAAGGATTAAAGATACTGATTTACATATATTGTTGAATGTGGAATCTACCATGAAAGAGATGTAAAACTAGAATCAACAAGCATATGCTTTAGAACATGTAGATGAGAGAGATATCTGGGTAAAGTGCCTCTTAGGATATCTGCTAAGTCCAATTCTCAGTATTTAAACTGCTGGACACAGATCTAGCTATTCCATAGCCTAGTTGTATCAGATGTATGGATTGTGCATCATGAAATGAACATCCTGTGTTCTGAGAAGCTCAAATAACCTCATAAGTCTTCTCTTTCTTTATGTGTCCTATTTTCTAGGACCTCATAGTTGACCAGACGATAGAGAAAGTTTCTTTCTGTGCCCCAGATAGGAACTTTGATAGAGCCTTTTCTTACATATGTCGTGATGGCACCACTCGTCGCTGGATCTGTCACTGCTTCATGGCTGTCAAGGACACAGTGAGTCCAACAAATATGTATTTCATGATGAGTATTCTCAGTTAGCTGGGCTCTTTCTGGGTTTGCTCAGCCAAGCGGTTTCTACTACATTTTTAACAAGTATGTGCTGCTACAGCTGCTCTTGGAAGTGCCTAAACTAGCCTACTTTCAGCTCCTTTTATTCAAATATTTTACACTCTTGGTGTAACCCCGGGAGTTGCAACTCACTGAACAAAATGATTGGCTGAAACCAAAGATCATTAAAGGAAGATAAAAATGGTCTGGTGATAGTGGTTGCTAAACTTTATTTGAAACTTTTAATTATTGGAAGTATTTTCAGGGTTCTTAAATGTATTTGTTTGCTAACACATATGGGTATGGTATTAAAAATGTATTTGCAAAGAGATTACTACAAATGAAAGAACTTGGCTGGGCCTGATGGCTCACCCCTATAATCCCAGCACTTTGGCCAGGGCGGGAGTATCACTTGAGACCACAAGTTGGAAACCAACCTGGGTTATGTGGCAAGACCTCATCTTCACAAAGAAAAAATTAGCCAGGCATGGTAGCACATGCATGTAGTCCTAGCTACATGCCTTGGGAGGCTGAGGCGAGCAGATCACTTGAGACCACGTGTTGGAGGCTACAGTGAGTCATCGTGCCATTACACTCCAGCCTGGGTGACAGAGTGAGACCTTGTCTCCAAAAAAAAAACTGAGTTGGAGTATACTTTCAACTATTATAAAAACAGAAATACTGGCCAGGCAAGGTGGTTCACACCTGTAATCCCAGCACTTTAGGAGGCTGAGGCAGGCAGATCACGAGGTCAGGAGTTCAAGACCAGCCTGGCCAATATGGTGAAACCCCCGTCTCTACTAAAAATACAAAAAAATTAGCCAGGCATGGTGGCATATGCCTGTAGTCCCAGCTACTCGGGAGGCTGAGGCAGAAGGATTGCTTGAACCCAGGAGGTGGAGGTTGCAGTGAGCTGAGATTACGCCACTGACTCCATCCCGGGCAACAGAGTAAGACTCCGTCTAAAAAAAAGAAAAGAAATACTGGCCGGGCATGGTGGCTCACACCTGTAATCCCAGCACTTTGGGAGGCTGAGGTGGGCAGATCACCTGAGGTCAAGGGTTCAAGACCAGTCTGGCCAACATGGTAAAACCCTGTCTCTACTAAAAATGCAAAAATTAGCCAGGTGTGGTGGCGCATGCCTGTAATCCCAGCTACTTGGGAGACTGACTCAGGAGAATCACTTGAACCGGGATGCAGAGGTTGCAGTGAGCCAAGATTGTGCCACTGAACTCCAGCCTGGATGTCAGTAAGACGCCATCTCAAAAATAAAACAAAAATAGGCCAGGCACGGTGGCTCATGCCTGTAATCCTAGCACTTAGGGAGGTCGAGGTGGGCAGATCACTTGAGGTCGGGAGTTCAAGACCAGCCTGGCCAACATGATGAAACCCTGTCTCTACTAAATATACAAAAATTAGCTGGCCATGGTGGCGGGTGCCTGTAATCCCAGTTATTCAGGAGGCCGAGGCACGAGAATCGCTTGAACCCAGGAGGCAGAGGTTACAGGTGAGTAAAGCTCTTGCCAAAGTTTAATCTGGACGATAAGTAGTGGCCATGCTCTAAAAATTGACCAAAATTGTTTAAAGATCTTTGAGACACTGGTGTAAACAAATGCTAAGAACTCAGGCTCTGAGTCAGATATGGGTTTCAGTTCTGATTCTGGTTCTTACTAGCGTGGGATTTGGGGCAAGTTACTTAACATTCTCTGTCTTGGTATATACTTCTATAAATGGAGAAAGTGGTTGTGAATACTAAATTGGATAATGAGTATAAGCACACTTAGCATAGGGTCTGGCCCACATTACTCCAAAAATTTTAGCTAGTAATGTTTAAGCTGTTCTTCCTTGGTTTGACACAGGTGCTTTGAAAATGAGTTGAAGTAACTGAACTATGCTTTTGTCCTCTGTTTCTCAGACCCTAAGTAAACCACAAATTTAGTATATTTTGCTATCACTACACTTTAAAAATCTGGAGTTCAAGAGTTTCCAGATACTAATTTAAAAACCATTTTATTGTCAAATCATGGCCCGGCAGGCTGTTTGAATCTCCTAGGCCAATAGTTCTACTGTATCAAAATCACCTGGAGGACTTATTTTAAAACATAGATTGCTGGGCCCCATCTCCAGTGTTTTTCATTCAGTGAGTTTGGGGTTGGGACTTCAGAATTTGCACTTAAAGTTCCCAGATGATGCTGTTGGTTGGGGATGTGGTCACTCTGCAACAACTTCTGCCCTAGGCCTAGGAGAAAGAATAAACTTCCTTGACCTGTAGCTCTGTCCTTATAATAGAGCTGCGTTCAAATGCAAACACATTCGAAGAATCTTTCAGTACTCCTGTTTCATGCTTTAACAATCTGGCCTAATATCGTCCTACTGGGAAGTTAGATGGAAACTCATGTGGATTCATAGAGTAATTCTGTCAGTCTTTAAGGAGTCAAAAGTTTTTTTAAAAAGTTTAAAAGTTTTAAAAGAGTAAAAAGTAGTCAAAGGTAGTAAAATCTTAGGGACATAAAGCATTTTAAACTTCTACCTGTCCTTATGATAACTAACACTGTCATGCAAAATCCAGTGAAACGACTTATTCAGAGCTGTGTGTAGGAGCAGCTGCCTACGTGGTGTGATTTTGAGAACACCACAAAAGACTTCCTGTTCCCAAATATGCTCTTCTCACTGTGAATGATGCCAACAATTATACCATCTCTAGATTTTTTATTCCACAATTAGCAAAATGGTTTAAAATACAGATAACCCTGCTAAAAATAATCCATTAAATTTATTAAATTGACTCTGGGTAATCCAGTGTATCTATATAAAGCAGTGTTTTGTTCATATACATACGTCCTCCACTCCTCCCACACACAAATCGGTTTTCTCTGCTGAATTCTTTTATAAGTAGACAGTGTGGATGAAAACATGCTTTCGTTTTGCCTGTGTTTGGTTGGGAGGTAGAGTTGGGAATTAGAGAGAGCTAGAGGAAGATAGGAAAGGTATGGGGGAAAACCTAAAAGCACTGAGGGCCATAAATGAGGAGGGTTGCTTAGAGGGAGGTTTCAGAAAGGGGAGACAGCAAAGCGTTTGTCTCATTGTTAGCGTTTTTTGAAACAGGGTCTCACTATGTCACCCGGGCTGGAGTGCAGTGGCACAATTACAGCTTACTGTAGGTTTAAGCGATCCTCCCACCTCCCAAGTAGGACCACAGACACACACCACCACCACACTCGACTAATTTTCTTTTCTTTTTATTATTATTATTATTTTTTTAATTATTATTTTTTTTTGAGACAGAGTTTTGCTCCTGTTGCCCAGGCTGGAGTGCAGTGGCACGATCTTGGCTCACCGCAACCTCCACCTCCCGGGTTGAGTTCAAGTGATTTTCCTGCCTCAGCCTCCCGAGTAGCTGGGATTACAGGCATGTGCCATCATGCCTGACTAATTTTGTATTTTTAGTAGAGACAGGGTTTCTCCATGTTGGTCAGGCTGGTCTCGAACTCCTGACCTCAGGTGATCTGCCCGCCTCAGCCTCCCAAAGTGCTGGGATTACAGGCTTGAGCCACTGCACCCGGCCTTTATTTTTATTTTTATTTATTTTTTGAGACAGAGTTTTGCTCCTGTTGCCCAGGCTGGAGTGCAGTGGCACGATCTTGGCTCACCGCAACCTCCACCTCCCGGGTTGAGTTCAAGTGATTTTCCTGCCTCAGTCTCCCAAGTAGCTGGGATTACAGGCACCCACCACCACGCCCGGCTAATTTTTGTGTTTTTAGTAGAGATGGGGTTTTGCCGTGTTGGCCAGGCTGGTCTCGAACTCCTGACCTCATGATCCACCCACCTCGGCCTCCCAAAGTGCTGGGATTACAGGTGTGAGCCATCCCACCTGGCCTAATTTTCTTTTTTTTTTTTTTTTTTTTTGATAGAGACAGGGTCTCACTGTATTATCCAGGCTGGTCTCAAACTCCGAGACTCAAGCGATCTGCCCACCTCGGCCTCCCAAAGTGCTGGGATTACAGATGTGAGCCACCATGCCCAGCCGCATTCCTTTTTAATCACTGGAATTGTATTTGTTTATCAGAAGTTTTAAGTTTGCACCTTTTTTTCCTAGACATACTAACACTGCATTAAGCTCCTGAAATATGCCTTGCCTTTCCAGTAGTTTCTTAGAAATGGCTGGTAAATATTCCCTCTCCTTCCCCAAAGGGCAACTAGAAGCTTGCATGTCAAGGCTTGAAACCTTGCATAGAGTCTTCTAAGCTGTTGGCCAGGGCTGACATGACAGAGCCTAAGTGATGAAGAGTTCTCCATGGCTGCTTGCAAAAGCGCAGGTTGCTGGTTATCACTTTACTTCAAGGCTTGTAACAGTGAATTGAACCATCATAAGCACTACCTAAGAAAATTTATTCATTTAAATTAATTTGGCATATGAGAATATATTAAAACAATTTTAAGTTGGAATTTGCAACATCTTGCTTTCATAAAAACAGACTTATTTGGGCCGAGTGTGGTAGCTCACGCCTGTAATCCCAGCACTTTGGGAGGTTGAAGCAGGTAGACCACTTGAAGCCAGGAGTTGGAGACCAGCCTGCCCAACATAGCAAAACCCCATCTCTAATAAAAATACAGAAATTAGCCAGGTGTGGTGGTGCGTGATTATAGTCCCAACTACTCAGGAGGCTGAGGCACGAGAATTATTTGAGCCTGGAGGCAGAGATTGCAGTGAGCAGAGACTGCGCCACTGCACTCCAGCCTGGGTAACAGCAAGACTCTGTCTCAGAAACAAAAAAAAAGGACTTATTTCTATGTAATTGTTAGTAATGTAATTCTGAAAAGCTTTTAAAACCTGCTCTCTACAGGGTGAAAGGTTGAGCCATGCAGTAGGCTGTGCTTTTGCAGCCTGTTTAGAGCGCAAGCAGAAGCGGGAGAAGGAATGTGGAGTGACTGCTACTTTTGATGCTAGTCGAACCACTTTTACAAGAGAAGGATCATTCCGTGTCACAACAGCCACTGAACAAGCAGAAAGAGAGGAGATCATGAAACAAATGCAAGATGCCAAGAAAGGTACAATCTGTTCTACAGTGTGTATTTATGGAATGCAGTTTTTCCCAACAAGGTATTATTTTGAAGCTACCAGGGATAAGTTTTCTCATAATCAAAGAGAACCCTTAGCAATATAAAACCTTATAACAAAGCTGAAAATCTTAAAAACTGCTTCCTTTAGAGTGGCTAGTTTAATGGCTTCAAAAATATTTACTCCCTTCTAGTAAGCTATCTGAGGAATCAGAGTGCGGTTGAAGAAGCTGCAGAGACATCTCTTACCCCCTTCCTTCCATCCTGAAATACCTTTTTAATTCGGATGCATCTGATCTCTATGAGAAGCAAATGAAGCAAGTACCTGCATCTTAAAGAAAGCAGCACAGGTCCCAGGGCTTAAGGCTGCAAAGCATCCACAGACTATGATGCTAGCAGAGAGATTTAACAGTAATACTGCTTATATGAGATTATTGCTGGTTTTTAGTGCTTTCTAGTCACAAAAGTCTATAGATTTTGAGAGGTAAGCCTATAACTCTTTTTCCCATAGCTCTGTTAATTTAATTTAGGGTGTGATTTTATAGAGTGTTTTATTTAGGTACACATAGCATCACAGCAGAAATGCCTGTACAAACATTCAAGTTAGTCGGCAGTCTATAAATGTAAGATGGGTATATTTTAGAACCAAATGATAGGGCTTGAAAATATTTTTGCATTCTTGTATATAAGTAGGGTTAAAACCAACAAGACAAGCACAAACAATTCAGGTTAACTAATAGACATTAATATAATTTTGAGGCCAGGTATAGTGGCTCACAGCTATAATCTCAGTACTTAAGGAGGCTGAGGAGGAAAGATCACTTGAGGCCAGGAGTTTGTGACCAGACTGGACAACATAGACCCTATCCCTAAAAAAAAAAAAAAATTAATTATCCATATTTGGTGGTGCACATCCATAATCCTAGCTGCTTGGGAGGCTGAGACCAGAGGATTGCTGGAGCCCAGGAGTACAAGGTTACAGTGAGCTGTGATCATGCCACTGCACTCCTCCAGCCTGGGTAACAGTAAAACCCTGTCTCTTAAAAACAAACAAATATATATATATGATAATTTTTTTACTATAACCTTTTAGTTCTAAACTAGTCTTTTGTTGTTGTTGTTTTGGTTTGATTTGCGTTTTTTTTTTTCCCGTTCTTTTTTTGAGACAGAGTCTTGTTCTGTTGCCCAGGCTGGAATGTGATGGCGCGGTCTCCACTGACTGCAGCCTCCACCTCCTGGGTTCAAGCAATTCTCCTGCCTCAGCCTCCTGAGTAGCTGGGATTACAGGTGCATGCCACCACACCCAGCTAATGTTTGTATTTTTAGTAGAGATGGGCCAGGCTGGTCTCGAACTCCTGATCTCAGTTGATCTGCCTGCTTTGGCCTCCTAAAGTGCTGGAATTACAGGTGTGAGCCACTGCACCTGGCCTTAAACCAGCCCTTTTAGATAGCAGCATTGACTAAAATACTGACCCAAACAGCTCTAATTCTTAACCCCCCTCCAAAAAAAAAGCATACATATTTTTATTTGAAATGAAATTATTGATAGTGATTTTTTTTCATTTCTTGTGAATATTTGCACCAGGAAGCCAAAGGGGGAAAAAATCATGCTATCTATACTAGAAAATTTAACCTGTATTACTGTTATTTAATATGCTTTAGTGGTCTTCAGACTATTCACTAATTAAGCATGTTCTTTAATACCACCAAATAATATTCATTGTTATGTACAGCAACTGCAAAGAGATTGAGTCCCAAATCTACAAAGGATTGTGAGAGTTAGTGGTTGAGATTTGTCACAATCAGAATGGGACTCGACTGGTACCCACAGTCTTATATTTAATCAAATTTAATCCAGTTCAAAATTTTACTACTGCATGCTTTTATTCAAATGAACCACAAATGCATGATTTAAAGACTGCTTTAGGTTGGGCGTGGTGGCTCACGCTTGTAATCCCAGCACTTTGGGAGGCCGAGGCAGGTGCATCACCTGAGGTCAGGAGTTTGTGACCAGTCTGACCAACATGATGAAACCTCGTGCTATTAAAAATACAAAATTAGGGCC